TGGGAACTTCTGCAGTGATGCAGCTTCTAAAATGATTACACCACTCTGTAAACAATAAAAAAAATCAAATGGCATAGTTTTAAGTAGGTAAATTGCATCGCATTTGTATTATATCTCAATATAGCAGTTGCAAAAAAAATAATAGCTACATTATTAGGAACTTAAGTTTAATATGTGAAGAACCTAGAGCACTAAGATACAGCATATTTTAGCTACCATAATGTTTACCACTAAATATTAGAACTTAATATGAAATTATTATAATCAAAGTATGATAGGCATAAATATTTTACTGGCACAGAAGAGTCTAGAAACTGATACTGTCATATGGGAATTTAATGTTTAATAAAAGTGCAATTGCAAATCAGTAGGTCAAGAATAGTTTCTTAGTGGTAAGTGGCATTCCACCAATTGGCCACCTTTTCTGGAATAAATGAAATGGATCCACTACCCCACACCACATGCCAAAACAAATTCGATGAGCAATAGAGATTTAAATGTCTTTAAAAGTACTAAATGTAAGAAGAAAATTACAAAATCTGTACATTGAGTTTGATAAGACAGTTTAAGGCAGGGCAGGAAACATTTTTAAAAACATTCTTTGGCTATATAAATTTAATGTTTTGTACAGATGAAACATTAACCTGGCAAAAGTTATATAATAGATGCATAAAACACAGTTGATAATTCACATGAACAACTCGTGATAAAAACGTGTTACGAAATGAGGGCTTAAACATCACTATTAACTCCACAAAGTTCCATCCGCTGAAAACCGTAGCGACCACAGGACACATTAAGCAACTAGGCCTACGCCCTCAGAAGTGAAGAATGCCGGGCACACATAAAATAGAAAAATAGATATTAGAAGAAAAAAATAAGATTTGCAGGAACTGTATTGGAGGAGACGGGTCCACTTTATAGATTGGCAGGAATATCAGTACGGGAAAAATCACTGTAAGCGCTCCAGGGCCGAGGGTAGAGGCAGGTAACAAACAGCTTTCGGGAGCTCTCGGGGTGTCTTCATCCTTGACTATGCAGCAGTCCGCGCAGCTCTGGGAAGCAGCCCCGGGCCAGCCCCGCCCCCCGCGGGCTTGGTCGAGCCTCACCTGGCCCATCCGCACCCACGCGAGATCAAACGAGACTTCCGCTGCCTGAAGCAGCCAAAGTGGCTCCGGGGCCCCGCCCCTTCCTGCCCTGGCTGAAAGGCGGAAGTAGCGTCACTCGTGACGTGAGTCTCTGTTTGCTGCTGACCTTGACGGTGTCAGGAGTGCTTTGTGTTGGTCCTGGTCCAGCACCGGCCAACTTCCGTGAGTCCCGGGCGAAGGAGAGGGTGTCTGGTGGAAGGTGCGAGATAGAGGACGGCTTTGGCCTGGGCCGCGCAGGGGCCTGCGTAGAGAGGCTTGGCGCGCGCCGCCCGATTCTGCCGGGGCCTCGTGTTTCCCTGGAACGGCCATGTTCGGACACCGCTTGGGCGTTGGAACGGGAGGCGTCCAAGGGCACCCCCGCGGGGTCGTTTATCCACTGTACTCGCTTTGTGATTTTTCTCCAGGAGGAAAAGAATTTACGCAGTTCCAGTCTGTTGACTCCGGCCCCGTGGCCTCGTGTCTTCACCGCCTGGCGATTCTGGCCTATTCCCGGTGAGCGCTGAGTTAGTTCCGAAGGGCCTGCTTCCTTTAGTATGCAAAAGAAGGTCTCACCCCATCATTTGTCTTTGTTTTGGCAAGTTTTTTATTTTTGATGGTACTGCATTCAAGTAGAAAAACAATACTTTTCTTGGATGTCTAAAGGCATATTTCTGTATAGAAACAGAAGTGTATGTAGACAAGTTTTTCCACTGAAGAGAAACAGGAATGCTCACTTATTTCTTTGTCTGTACTTCTAAGCCTGTATATCCATCCCCACAATAGTTAAAAACGGGGCCTCGAAGAAAAAAAAGGATGGTGGCTTTTTTTGTTCTGGTTCTGGGATAGTTGAAACTTTATGTTAACAGGCTCTTTGTACTAAGTATATTTTCCCCTATTTTTTTCCGAGAAGTCTGTCATCTAAATAAATTGTAGATAAATAAATACACTTTTGGTGAACATGTCTGTTATCTACCCTGGGAAAACGAAAATCCTCCATATTCCAAACTAATGCCTTGGACTGTTTTTGGATGTGGGATGCAATTACAGTTTATATGTAGTTATCATCTTTTAAGTCTTAAGCTAGAGTACTGGCTATTGTTTCTCTGTTACACTGATTTTCTGAAAAGTCACAGGTTCTTTTTTAGAAAGTCACACATTTTGATAGCTTTTTTTAAATTGAGATACAGTTGACATGTAACAGTCTCAGGTGTACAACATACGGTTCGATATTTGTATATATTACAAGACCATTACCACAATAAGCCTAGTTAATAGTTAATAACATCCATGGCCATTTACAATTTTTTCTTCTTGTGGTAATTTTTAAGGTCTCAGCAACTTTTGAACATAAAGTATTATTACCGATAGTCACCATGTTGTATATATTACATGTGCTCAGAGTTTATACTCAGAACTTATTTTATGACTGGAAGGTTATGCCTTTTGATAACCATCCCCCATCCCCCACCATTCACATCATACCTCCCCCCTTTCCTGTGAGAACCACCATGTGTTCGCTATGTCCCTGAGTTCCATTTTAGTTTTTTGTGGGAGGTTTGGATTGTTTGTTTTTTCGTTTTTGATGTTTGTTCTACACATAGATGAGATCATAGGCTGTTTGTCTTTTTGAGGTTTATTTCACTTAGCATAATGCCTTCTCGGTTCACGCATGTTGCTGCAAATGGCAAGATTTTCTTCTTTGGCTGAGTAATACACCACTGTATATGTATACACCACCTTTTTCTCACTCATCCATCAGCGCACACTTAGGTTGCTTCCATATCTTGGCTGTTGTAAATGTTGCTGGTGAAATAGGGGTGCAATATCTTGTGTTAATTTTTGTTTTTCCTCAGATAAATTCCCAGGTGTGAAATTGATGGATCATATAATTTTTTTTTTGAGGCTCCTCCATGCTCTTTCCACAGTGTCTGCATCTGTTCATTCTTACCAATAGTACACAAGGGTTCCTTTCCAAAACATCAGCCCAACCAACACTTGTTATCTCTTGTCTTTTTGATAACAGCCATTCTAACAGGTATGAGGTGATAATCTTGTGGTTTTTATTTACATTTCCTTCATTAGTAATTATTAGTATAGTTAGTAATGACTAGTAATGTTGAACACCTTTTCACATACTGTTAGCCATCTGTATGTCTTTCTTGGAAAAATGCCTACTCAGATCCTCTACCCATTTTTTAATCAGATTGTTATTCTGCTGTTAAGTTGGATTGAGTTCTTTATATATATTTGAACTTTAACCCCATGTCAGATACATGTTCTTTTCTAGTTTCTTGGGGCTGTAAAGTTGTTGGACCATTTTGAAGTTTCTGATTTTATTTTCATGTGTTTAAATGTTTGCACCATTTCTTGGATTTCCTGTCAACTGGTAACAGGGTCCAGAGTAGCGATTGGGGAACTCTGTCTGAAAAGGGCCAAATAGGAAGTACTTAATGTTTTGTAAGCCAATAGATCTTGAATTGTTCAGTTTTACCTTTGTAGTAAGGAAGTAGTCATAGATCTTAATAACAAATGGGTATGGCTGTTTTCTCATAACACTACTTAACAAAAACAGGCCTGTTACTCATGGTTTGTCAAGAGGATTCAAAAGATAATTTACAAAATATATTGTAGGTGATGTGTGTGCCTGAAGTTGCATTTCATCAGGAAGACATAGGTTTATATCATCCTTTATTAGTGATGCTATATTTGATGCTGTATTTGATATAATAGGTAGTTATTATCAGAGCCCTCTACTTTATAGGTAGATTTTTTTCCTTTTGAGTAAGAAAGTACAAACATACCTCATAGATTTTGTGGCTTCTCTTCCAAAACCACTATGATAAAAGCAAATATTACAATAAAGTGAGTTGAATTTTTTTGTTTCCCAGTGCATATCGAAGTTTAGTTTGTGGTATATTAGGGGTACAGTATCATGTTTTTAAAAAAAAATGAATATACCTTAATTTAAAATATTTTATTGCTAAAAAGTATTAACCATCATCTGAACTTTCAGTGAGCTGAAGTCACTGAGATCACCATAACAAAATAATGAAAAGTCTTGAGATACTGTGAGAATTGCCAAGATGTTACACAGACAAAAAGTAAGCAGATGCAGTTGGAAAAATGGTGCAGATAGACTGCTTGATGCAGCGTTGCCACAAACAATGTGTAAAAAACAATATCTGGGAAGCACAATAAAGGGAAGCAGTAAAATGAGGTACACCTTTAATAGGCGGTATTTTGACATTTAGAATATCTTGTTATGCAACAACCTGTTGTAGCATTGCTGAGTAACCAGCAGTGGTCTTCTGTGTATGTTGTCTCACATTTATAGAGGTTCATTTTCAGGGCAAGCTTTTATGGCAGATTTCTAGGTTAGAGGGCAAATAACATTTTATTTTTCTGGATATATAAATCCTTTGTATAGATTTTGTGCCATTTGGTAGTTTTTCATTCAGCTTCAAAACATACTTAAAACTTCAGACAATGGCCTAAATTTTAGTTTTCACTACAAGGTACTTGTTTTCAAAGTGAGTATCTTGTCCACCTTCATGAATAAGGAATACTCAAATTTTCAGAAGTACAATGTTGGGGCATATATTTCATTGTGCACAGACATCTTATATGATTGCTATTTAATTTGGGGGTTCTAATCGTATTTTTTTGTGACTTCATTTTATTCATATCTGCAATTCCCACTTGACCAACACCAAAAGCAGTGGTGTATTTTTTTCCCTACGTATATAACAATCACAGTGTTACGCACAGGAGTAATAGTAGTATAACTTTCTTCAGGTACCCAGACCCAATTCCAGTATGTGTAAATATATGGGAAGTGGTCTTCCCACATATACACCACCAATTCTCCAACACAAGCAGGGTGTTGGAGAACTCAGTTCTGATGCTGTCAGAGACAGCACCAGATTCCCAAGTTAAGGGCTCCTTCCTACAAGCCTGCCCCCCACCCCGCTCCAGCTGCCCATCACAAGCCCCAGGCAATTACCTGTGCTTCTGACCTACCAGCTACAGATTGGGTGTTGCCACAACCTCTCCCTTAGTCTCAATTAATTTGCTAGAGCAGGCTCACAAAACTCAGGAAAGCACGTTTACCAGTTTAATAAAGGATACAAGGTAACAGCCAGATAAAGAAAGACATAGGGCAAGGTCCCAAATAAAGGAGCTTCTATCCTCATGGAGCTTGGGGCTTGTCTTGGTGGCACATGGAGGTGTTCTGGCTGCCCGAGCAGAGAGAAAGATACAAGTTCTTTTCCAAGGTTTTTGTTAGGGCTTCATTGCATAGTCATAATTGACTAAATTATTGGTCATTGGCTCCATCCCCCTTAAGTAGTGGCCAACAAATCTCATTAACATGACAAAACAACCTTTTTGCTTTTAAGACATTGCAGTGTTTTCAGGAACTGGATGAAGACCAATATACCTGGCAAATATATATTTATTTGGTCATAATGAATGACCAAATACATAGTTCTTGTAACTGATTAATATCACAGTATCTACACTGTAACATTTTCTGACACTCCACAGATCATTTAATTAGTTTAATGAGCCACGCTATGTGCCCAGGACAGGGAAACAGTGACCATCAAAACAGATAGTACTGCTGCTACGGATCTCAGTCTACTTAGGAAGATATTTTAAGTGAATACTGGCTAGTTTGTTATTTGGACATAATAATGGCTTAATATGAGGGGAGATGTACTGGGGGTGATGAAGATGAAAGGATGGGTAAGGTTTAGCTAATCAGGTCATGTAGTTAGGATGGTGGAAAGTGAGAACATTCCAGATGGAGGGAACTTCATAAGGAAAATACCAGAGAAGTTGAGAGCTTGGTGTATTTCCTGGTCTGAGGAAAGGGAGATTGGCTGAAGCAGGGCACAGCCATCGTGGTGGGAGGAAATTGAAGGGGGGTGGCAAGCAGTACCAAGGGAATTATATATTCAAAGTAAATTTGAACTGTGTACTAGAACTGTGTTCCTGAGGCCATGGGAAGTTTATGAAATATTTTAAGAAAGTAATTTGAATCTACTTACAACTCCTAGTTTGAAATGGTCTTCAGGAAATGTGAAAGTGAAGCCATGGAGTCAACTTGGAATATGAGGATGAATAATTTTTAGAAGTTGGTGGCAGTAACTTATGATTGGATTATTATTACAAAAAAGGAGTGACCTGCAGTTAGTATTGAAAGAGCCTTTGCAACTTACGCAGCTTACTTGGACTCCCTGGAGTTGCCTAAGCTCAGTCTCTTAGGAGCTCTTTAAGAGCATACATGATCTCTGGTTTCTATTGATCATTGTTTTGAAGCATTGGATTTGTTTTGTATGTAAGCATCTTTCTCCTACCTTAACCTTTCCCTTAGGTTTTGTACTAGTAGTTAAATCTAGAGACAACAGCTGGTGATTGTGGTGGGTCTTGAGAACGAGCATCTTCCAAGACATCTCCAAGTACATTGTAGAACTAGAGGAAGACTAGTCTCAAAACTAAAGGGCAAGCTGCTTACTCTCCCTGGTAAAAGAACCTCAGTTGTCTGGGAGTTCAACATGGTGAATTTCATCTGGGTTCAACTAGGTGTCCCCATTCCCAGTTTCCTCTCTCCTTGGCTGGGGAGTCACCCTCAGTATCACAAAAATAGCTGTGTGAGAAGCTGTTAAATGTCACATTTGATTTCCAGCAATACCTTCTCCCTGTGAACCTGCCTACTACTGTCTAAAGCAATATGCAGGTTCCTCAAAAAAACTAAAAATAGAAATATCATTTAACCCGGGAATTCCACCCCTAGGAATTTACCCAAAGAATACAAGTTCTCAGATTCAAAAAGGTATAAGCACCCCTATGTTTATTGCAACACTATTTACAATAGTCAAGCTATGGAAGCAACTTAAATGTCCATCAGTAGACGAATGGATAAAGAACATGCGGAACATAAACACGAATACTATTCAGCCGTAAGAAAGAAAGAAATCCTACCATTTGCAACAACATGGATGGAGCTAGAGGGTATTATGCTCAGGAAATAAGCCAGGCAGAAAGACAAATACCAAATGATTTCCCCCATTCATGGAGTGTAACTGTGAAGCAAAAACTGAAGGAACAAAACAGCAGCAGACTCAAACTCCAAGAAGGGACTAGCTGTTACCAAAGGGGAGTGGGGAGGGAGAAGGAGATTGAGGGCTATTATAATTAGTACACGTGGTGTGGGGGGATCATAGGGAAGACTAGCACAGAGAAGACAAAGTGACTCTGTGGCATCTTACTACACTGATGGACAGTGACTGCAATGGGGTATGGGAGGGGACTCGATAATATGGGTGAATGTAGTAACCACATTGTTTTTCATGTGAAACCTTCATAAGTTTGTATCAATGATAACCTTAATTTAAAAAAACATTTAAAAAGTTTTAGGGTTAGCTCCCCCAAGGTTGTAAAATATTCCTCTTTATCTTATTCTAGAAGCTTTATTGTTTTACCACTCATGTTTAAGTCTATGATAACACCCCAATGTAGTGTTTAGGTATGATATGAAAATATATGTATTTATCTTCTCTCTGGTCTCAGACTTTGGCTTGAGATGCAAAATAGCAGATCCGAGCTTGTCATTTTCTGGGTAACAACACTCTACCCCACACCATTAACACTTAATAACCATCATTATTGCTGTAACCATTAACTGTAGCATTCACTTGGTCCCCCATGCAAGTGTATGAGTTGCACCATATGACAATCAACCACAGGTAACAGCTCAACAATAGGCATTCTTTGTATTGTGCTTTGCTTTATTGCACTTTACATATATTACATATTACAAATTAAAAGTTTGTGGCAACCTTGTGTTGAGCAAGTCTGTCGTCACCATTTTTCCATGTGTTTACTCAGTTGTGTGTCATGTTTTCAAAATATAACTTGCATATTCAAAATATTCAAAAATGTGATTCTCTAAATACTTTGGATGTTTTCATTATTTGTTATGATCAGTGATCAAAACTTACTGGAAGCTCAGATAATGGTTAGCATTTTTAAGTAATAACATTTTTAAATTAAGGATGTACATAGTTTTATTAGACATAATGCTGTTGCACACTTAATAGACTATGGTATAACCTAAACAACTTTTATATGCACTGGAAAACCAAAAAATAAATGACCCTCTTTAATGTGTTACTTCCTTCACTGCAGTGGTCTGGAACTAAACCCACAGTATCTTGTTATGATTCTCTATTCTTATCGGCAAGAACCTCAGCTCTGCTGAGGTTTGACCAAACCTATCCCCAAATCTCATCTTTACAACTTTGTCTTTGGGGATCACTCCTTTTCAATTCTGTAAGACTCTTCATTGAAATCAGGAAATAGAAACCATACTTTGACTTAAACAGGAAAAGTGTAATGTAAAAACATAAAGAGAATTCTAACACTTACCTGAGTTGATAGTACACATGAGGCCAGACCTGACTTTAGACTTTGTTCAGGAACATGTCATGGCAGCCTATTATGTGGTGAGGTTCACTAGGTTTCCAGGTCCAGAGCTAGTCAGCAGTCACTGGGCAAGCAGGAAGAACTCTGGAATGTAGACAAGCCGTGACTGATAGGTAGATGTGGTGGAGAGAGAGCTGGAGCAGTAGGTGTTCATATAAAGGCTATGGGAAACAGTTGACTGCAGATGAGCCCAGGTTGGTAAGTAAGTACTGAGAAGAAGGTATTGTTCCTACCACCCTTAGAATCCTAGAGCAGTTAGATGGGTTTCTGAAAACATGTATATTCTAAGTTATTTAGCTGCATATAATCTAGATATATGTGAAGAATAGTTGAAGATCTCAATTGTCTATCAATTCCCAGTCATTGGGTGTCCACATTGAACTGAGTTCTGTGCCACTCATTGTACTGGCAAACTGGCATCCAAAACAGACAGTGCTACCTATGATGTGCCAAAAAAAGAAAACCCTCCAAAAGAAAGTGGATCCTAATGTCAGACAATATTATCAAAAGATATTAACTGTGGAAATAGAGGTTATTATAAGATTATGTTTCTCCAAAAATAAAAATTTAAATGCTTAAGAACTACTATGCATTTGATCATACATTTATATTTCAGTTACAAAATGAACATAAAAGTACAACATTCTAGTCTGGTCCACCTCACTATAAACAATCTAGGGGCCTATTCAATGAAGGATCCCAGTTTGAGATTCCTGGAAGTACAGTTATACTGAGAGTCTGGACATAGTTTTTGTGACCATACATGTTTCTGGGTTTTAGTCTTCCCAACTATGAAGTAAGGACTCTGAGATAGGAATGGTAAATTTGGTTATAGATAATGAACAGAGGAACTATCAGTGCTGCCATCATTCGAATACCACTTTATAGAATAGCATTTGGCCTGTTGGTCTGTGTTTTATTTATTAAAGGGTATTAATTTTTAACAAATTAAGCTTTATAGATTGTTATAAAACAAAAATATGAAGCCTGGAAGAAATGAAGTAAACATAAAAGCAAATTTATGGAAACTGGAACTGATTATAATGTGAAATAGGAGGTGATTGAAAAACTCACAATACAGAAAATGGGCAGACAGTGATAACATTTCCTCTTTCCCAAGGCAGGGTAGAGCACAAACCTCAATGAGTGTCTCCAAGCAAGACCTGTGGGAGTGTCCCAAGACTTTCAATATAATATTCTTGGTTCTTTTATAAAAACTTCAACATTCTCTGATCTTTTTGAGTCATGTGGAAGAGTTAATGATTATTCCCTCTTCTTCCAGGAATCAGCAGTGTGTGTGCAGTGTGTGTAGGACACCCTCACCTGCTTGACTGTTTCCATACATACCACTTATGAATTGACATATCAAAGTTTTCATTCTTATCCTTTCTGATAGGAATGTTGGATCTTGATGCCTAGGACATGTTCTGTGTATGTTAACTGCTCTCAACCGAGTGCCTAGCATAAAGATAAAACTTCTTAATTACTTACTGAAAAAGTGGAAGAAAAGCCAGAGATAAAAACTTAAAAGACCCAATAGCGTTAAACTTCTGCATCCATCAAGGGAGATTGAAGTGTATTGACTGTTTATTTTTACCTTCATATGCCCAGCAGCAATCTGGACCATGGCTTCTCAATACATATATAATGTATAAACACTACATGTGATGAAAGTAAGTTACAAATATATGTGAGCTGTAAGCTTCTAGTGTCACATCCGGTACATATTAGCCTTTAATTAATGGCAGTTGATGTTACTGGTACTCTGCTATATGGCTTACTGTTTTAGTAGGTTTCATATGTTATCTGCACAGAAAAAGTTAACATGGGGTGACTGACCAGATTAGTATTTGTTAATTGATACGGAGACTCCAGATAACCTGACAATCCACAGGGGTGGAGATGGCCCTATCCACTTATAATCCTAAACTGCCCCAAAATAATCTTGGTTCAGGAAAGGAATGTTAAGGCAAATTCACCATCAGCTTTGTAGCATGGTGTCTATAATATGTCCCATAAGTACTCCTAAATGCCGTTTTTTGGTTATGCCCACGTTATGTAGTTCTTTGGTTGGTTCCTGAGCGGCCATGCTGGCTCATCTAGGAGGAGCTGAGGTGGCCACAGAATGCCATTTGCTGCATCAGCACATTTATCAGGTTTGTTGCTTTTGACAAATGAAGAGACACTACTCTGGGCTTACGTTTCCTTACCCAGAAGAGGGAACCATTCTTTTCCTGATGGGAACATGGGTCACGGTCCCCTTTTCTGACTCCAGGTAAGATGGGGCTACTCCAGCTTCTTTATGGCAGTAGTATGTGTTTGTATGGATTTTCTTGAGTATGCCTTGGTTTGGGGGAATGTGGTGAATGTGGCAGTGATAGCCATCTCAGGGATCTCATGCCTTCTTTCATTCTCCTAGGTCCTCTTTCTCAGGACCAGAATCTCTCTGACCTCTTCAAGGAAATATAGAGAAAGAAATGATGGTGACTGAGTGTTCAACAAATTTTTCTCAGGTAAGTATGCTTCAACAAAATGACGTGCATTCACCACATACTTCCTACTACATGAACCTATATCTGTAACTTGCAAAAAATAAAACCACTCAAGAACTGAGTCCATGTAAAATTTCTCCCAAAGCAGAGCCTCTCTTATTGGTGACAATACCCAGAATAATCTCAATGTATCAATACATAATGTTGTCTCATGGTGACTGCATAATTTTTTATTATGCTGGGTATTCTGACAATGGTAAAGAAGATGGAGGTGCATTTCTGAAAGATGTATTCATCAGCATTTACAAGTGTAATTTTCTTAGGAGTTTGCTAAAAGGGAAATGAAATGGGAAGAGCTTTTAGGCTCCTTATCTTGAAAGATAAGTTCCTGTGTTAGAGGGTCCATTACAGCCATAACAACATACAAACCATAAATGAGTATAGATAGAAGAGTACCTCACCCCCATGCTATCTGGAGGAGATAAGAGAGACTTTGAAACCCTCTATTGTTTTTGGTCTGCCATCTTCATCCCCATTAGACATTGGTGATGAGATGAGATGTTCCTGTACTCAAGCCAGCATGTGTGTGATGGTTTAGGATCCAGTGACCTTTGATGATGTGGCTGTGGACTTCACCCAGGAGGAGTGGACTTTACTGGACCTCACACAGAGAAACCTATACAGAGAGGTGATGCTGGAGAACTACAAGAACCTGACTGTGGCAGGTGAGGGTGTATCATTCCTGTAGTCTTACTGCACAGATTAATGTTATGTATTTGCTTTGTTCCAGGATGGCTGAATTTAAGTCTGAATAGAGTGGAAAGTAACAGGCCCTAATCTCTATGCTAATGAGTTTTAATCCAAGGTAGTTTTTGTGGAAATGTGATTCTAAGCATCACCATCGCGGTCTTAGAAAGGTGCATTCTCAGAATTCACCTTTGACATACTGACAGAAACTGGCATTGGGGTCCAGTCATCTGTGTTTTAAGAAATGCTACACCTGATTCTGGTGAACACCAAAATTTGGCAGCCACTGGCATAGTGGTTCTTCCGCAAAGTAAAACCTTTTGGCACTGTATTTCCTCCTACAAGAAGTCATAGAGCTTTGTAACTGTGTGTGTGTGTATAATATACATAAATCTGAATGTGGGTTTGAGGACCTAAGGTGAACACTGGGGCACAGAAAGATAAGATACTCGCCCTTTAATCTCATTTAGAACAGGTTTACTGCATTCATTTGAAACAGGAAAGTTTGCCATCTTTTACAGAATGTCTTTTCATTTATATGTCTTTCCTTATGAGCAGGGTTTCAGTTTAAACCCAGTCTGATATCTTGGTTGGAACAAGAAGAGTTGAAGACAATGGAGACAGGTGGCCTCCAAGGTGAGTGATTATGAAGAACTATTCTGGTCAATCATGATTTCAGTAGTTTTGATCTTACAATAAGGAAATGTAAAGATGTGCTTTCTCAGAAAGCTCATGTCATTGATGTGTGGCACTTTCTTAAACTTCTCATATGTACTTGTACTTCATGTACTCAAAATTTCCTGTGATCTCACAATAACCTGTTACTGCTACCAGTTTTTCATTTTTATGTGTCTTTGTCCAGGATTTTCTTTACTTCCCCGATTGTGTTCTCTTTTCCACATCATGTTTTTCATAGAATCATTTTTTGTCAGCTACTCAGTTTTGACTCCCATATATGTCCTTATCATTGCTAAATTGTTGATAATAGCTACACAAACTTAAAACATGTTTATCTTGGAGGAAAAAACAACAAATAAGCCTTATTGTTTTTAACTATTTTATCCTACCCTTTCTACAACTCTTATGTTTTTCTTCTTTTCCTTTAGAATGGGAATTGCAACTTAATACCAAAGATTCAGAAATTCAGGGTATTTCAGGAGAAAAACCATCCAGTGGCATAGAACAGGTAAGATCACTATGTATCTGGGAAATACTGCTTTCCAAATTTAGAAAAGAATATAATTTTCATTAGAAGATCACAAGTGATATATACTTGAAATAAGTGTCATTAACTCAAGAGAAAGTGGTACCTCTGATGAGGTGTACTAAATGTATGAATTTGGGGATTTCAGAAATCAAGCTTAAAATTTGTTGCCTAGAATTCAGAGATACTCATTTCCACACACATAATTCGACACACTGAGTTTTTTAAATAATTCCATGAAACTTTACAGGAATATTTTAAGATTAGAGTAGATGTCACATCATTCTGGCAGAAGGAACCATCATTAAACTGGAAAGATGTTAACAGGTCAGAAGGTGTATATGTGTAATAGAAATGGCTAAGATTTTTGAGATGAGGAGGATCAATTTATGAATCGAAACCTTTGAATCATTCCATTCATCAATAGGCGAAAAGCCACCATGGATGGAAGCTCGACAATGATCAGTGTGGTAAAGACCTCGGTGAACGCTCATGCCTTAAGACACACAGGAGAACTCAAAGTGGAAGAAACAGTTGTGAGGCTGGTCAATGTGGAGAAAGCATCCTTACTCTGCAGAAGAAAACTTCAGCTAGAGAGAAACGTTCTTGGTTTAATCAGTGCAGAAAAAACATCAGCCTAACTCGAAATACTGTATGCTGGAAAGTTAGCAGACAAGAAAAAGCCTTTGCATGCAATGACAATAGGAAAGCCTTTGTTAATCGGTCTTGCTTTCAGGCACAAATGAGAACTCACAGTAGAAAAATCTACAGAAGCAAGGAATGTGAGAAAGCTGTTAACTCTACAAGCTTTGGTGTACAAGTACAAACTCACACTGCTAACCAGAGTTATGAATGTAAAGAATATGGGAGAACCTCCTCTGCTGCATCCTCAGGCTTCTCTGCACACATGAAAACCCACAGTGGAGGGAAGCTTTTCAAATGTGACAAATGTGGCAATTCCTTTGCTGCTTCATCACATCTTATTAGTCATTGTAGGACTCACATTGGAGAGAAGCATTTTGAGTGTAGCATATGTGGGAAAGCCTTTCAAAGTTCTTCACAACATGCCATTCATATGCGAACTCATGCTGAAGAGAAACCCTGCAAATGTAAGCAGTGCAGAAGAGCCTTTGCTGTTTCCGGTAACCTAACTAAACATGTAGAAACTCATGACAAGACACTGCATGAATGTAAGGAATGTGGAAGGTCCTTTAGAACTTACTCATCTTTTAAAAATCACATTGGAATACATGCTAAAATAAAACCCTACAATTGTGAGGAATGTGGGAAAGGCTTTGTATATCCTTTCTCCTTTAATGTTCACATGCGCAAACACATTGGAGAGAAACCCTATAAATGTAAGGAATGTGGAAAATCCTTTAGAAGTTCTTCATGTCTTAATATTCACGTACAGATTCACACTGGAAGAAAACCCTACAGCTGTAAGGAATGTGACAGACCCTCAATCCAGTACTCATATTTAGAAACATACAAAAAAATCCATGAGGGACTAAAACCCTACAAACGCAAGGAGTGTGGGATAGCCTTCACTGCATCCTCAGGACTTACTGAACATATGGAAACTCATAGTGAGGAGAAACCTTTCAAATGTAACAAATGTTGGAAATCCTTTACTACTTATTCATTTCTTGTCAGTCATTTTAGAACTCACACTGGAAAGAAAGATTTTGAGTGTAACATCTGTGGGAAAGCGTTTGCCACCTCTTCATACCGCGTTGTTCACATGCGTACTCACACTGGAGAGAAACCCTATGAATGTAAAGAATGTGGGAAAGTTTTCACTTTTTCCTCAAGCTTCAGTAGACATGCAAGGCTTCACGCTAGAAAAAAACCCTGTGAATGCCAGGAATGTGGGAAAGCCTCCCTTCAGGCCTCGGGCCTTTTGCAGCATGTACAAATTCACAGAGAGAAACCTGGAATGTAAACAATGTGAAAGGCCTTAGTTATTCCAATTATTTTAGGTAAATGAAAAACTCATTCTGTAGAGAATCCATGTGAATGTTAAAGGTATGGGAAAGCTTTAATTCTCCCAGTTCATTTCAGAGTAATAAAAGAACATGGAACTATGGAAACTCATAGTGAAGAGAAACCTTTCAAGTTTAAGAACATGGTAAAGGCCTCAATGATCCCAGTTCAGTTTGATGACCTGATAGGACCTCACCAGAGAGATGGTGGTCTACAGATGTGAGGAATGTGGGAAATTCATCAGTCTCACAACTCAACATGTTAAGTCTCAAGTGAAGCCATACTGTAAGGAAATGTGGAAAACCCTTTAATTAGTGCTTATATGAAATACGTTCTTTAAATATGGAGAAGATACCTGCACTGCAGAGGAGCTCTTGATACAGGATATGTGGGAAAACTAAATAATGCTCACTTGTGATCTCCCTATACAAACTTATGAGTGTAAGATACGTTGTAGAGTCACTATTTTCCATTATATTGTTACTCATCCTTAATGAACACAGGGTGGTGATTCACAATGAAGAAAAAATGTGAGAAGTATAGGAAATAAACTCTCCTGTTGACACAGAGCAGGCCTGCTTCCTACTTCAGAAACCCTGTTCTGCCACCTCAGCATTCTTTGCTTGTACCACAACCCAGCATATATGCAGATAGCCATATGGGTCCTTTGTGTAACCTGAGACTTGGACACAAAAGAAACCAAGACAAACATGCTGATGTTTATGCTGCTGACTACTGCAAGGAAGCTACATCCTCTCTCTGACTTCAGTGTCTCAGCTCCTCTGCCAACATCTGTGGAACACTGCAAGCTAAATTAAATTAATACCTTGCAAGAAGAGAATAATCAAGTCATAAGCCCAACAGTTTTGGTGACCGACATAGGTTAATAGAGATGTGGCTTTCTGGAAGAAGGAGGACAATGGCCACCAGGTGAAGTGTGAAGACACAGTATCTGGAATTCAGTGACAAGGTCTCTTCCCCAAGAGGTTTCCACACAACATGGAAACAGAGGGGAATAGGCTCCCTATTGTACTGTGTCTCTATAGGCATATCAGTAGCTATATCAATAATTACATCAGCTTGATTTTCTTTAATTGCTTAGTCTTTATGCTTTTAAAATGCCTCTTTTTTTATATATATGCTATATGGAGTTTTAAAGTATCTAAATATTTGAAACCCAACCTTAAAATCCTTGGACTTGGAACATTTAGTCCATAATGTAAATTACTAATATAAATTTAGGTTTATGTCTAGCATCTGTTTTTTTATTAATGCATTTTGCTTCCATTTCAGATAGTATTTTTATGATTTTTACTGTTAGTCAAATTTATATAAACCGTTATTCTAGTCACTGTCTTAAGGCCTTTTAAATTGGCATTATCACTTAAGACTTAGGGAATACTTTACCTCTCCTACAAAGTGTACTGGACCTTAGGCACATAGTAATGCCATTATCCAGTTCCTAAGCAGCATGATAGCAGAGACCCAGAACTAAGTCTCTAGTCATAGGAAAACAGGTCCCCCTGAGAAATGGGACAGCTTCCCCTCTTGAGAGAGGCTGTTATCTGGCAGGAATATGTAATCCTGTGGGGAAGTACTGGGTATCTTCAAAAACAGTGAACTTGAAAGCAACATTGGCCACCTTCTGAAGTTTACACAGTAGTGGGGACTGCATGGTTTCCCTGTTGGGGACAAAACTTAGTAATGATAGGGATAGGTGTGACTGATCTCCAGCTTTGCTTGGGGCATACAGACTTCATATTTGCCTCTTCTATCCCAGATGACTTTGTTCCTCGCCGTCTCCCTCTGGTGACAACCACTGGGTTTCCTGTTGCATTAGATTATTGTTAGCCTGTTAGAGTCCTGTTGTTAGCCTTTTTGGAACCACTGCAATTAGTGTGGATGTGGCCCTTTGTACACTCAGCCAAAGACCTGTCTTTATCCCACCTTTTGTGTCTCCTTGAGTCTTGCCACTTCTCACATAAGGGGTGGCTTGCGGAGAGGGCAACGTTACAAAGATTATTTCTCCTGAGCATTGTCTAGACGTGGCACCAGAAAGGGATCACGTCTTGAACCTTGAGGTGGGGCCAAGTGTTCATTAGGAGTGAGTAGAGCAGGGTCAGCTTGCGTTTGCATTCCATCAAGGGAGGTGAGGAGATAGATCACCCTTGAGCTTCTGAACCAGTTAACTTCTGACCCATTGGAACCTGCCTCCTTTCACCATTACCACCAAATGGAAAATGGAATGACTCGTAATTCTTACCTCAAGGTAATTGGAAGTTTTTCAAGGGGACTGTTCTCTGGAATTCTCAGAAGGAATGGCTGATTATTATGGTCTGGTGTTTTTTGGGGTTTTTTTCATTCACTTTTAAATCCTGTCAAGGCAGGTATGTTATTCATAGGGCATTTAGGAAAATGCACAAAATGCAGAGATTATAGAAACACCCAGGTTTGAGTATCAGGATATGGTAATGACAAATATACCACCAGGGCATTTGAAAAAAATTTTGTGTGTCTAGGTAGATATTTAACTATACCCCCTGGAGGTTATAGTGCTGTCAACCCAGTCTCAGGGAGCCTGGTAGGCCCAGAAGCTGTCCTTGTAAACATTTTATCTCCAATCTGGCGGCCTAGGGAGGGGTCACATGGCCCTCCAACCCAGGGACTTGATGCCCAGGAGTCAAGCAACTTAAAATCCAGCTATTACAATACCGTAAGAAGGATCTCCGTTGTCTTAGCCATAATTCACTGCTTCAAGTGAGCAGTGCTCTATGCCAGGTACTAGGGGAACACTGGTCTCCACAGTTCTTCCTAAGAGATGCAAAAACTCAAAATAAAGAAAATAGACCCTAATAGACAACATTCAACTTCTGGGTACATGTCCAAAAAAATTGAAAGCTGGATCTTGAGTTATTTGGACACCTTTATGAGCAATGTTACTCAAAACAGTTAAAACAGAAATCAAGTGCCCATTGATGGACAACAGTTAAGAAAAATGTGGTATATATGCACAATAGGAATTATTATTCAGGCTTTAAAAAGTTGTGCAAAATGCTACATGGATTAACCTTGACATTATGCTAAGTGAAATAAGTCACAGACAAATCTGTAGATTGCACTTTTATAAAGTAGTCAAAACCAGAGGGAGGATGGTGGCTGTCGGGGCTATTGGAGAAGATGATGTGGACTTTAAGAGGCACAGAGTTTCAGTTTAACAAAATGAAAAGTTACAAATGTGGTTGCACAACAGCATGCAAGTATTTAATGACACTGAAATGACTAGGATGATAAATTTTTAATATTTTACTACAAAAAAGGGTACAGAAGGACTAAGAAAGCAAAATAAGATGATTTAAGTGTATAAATAGAAGAATTTAAAGAGATAGCAAACAACAGAATACAGATTATTCTGAACAGTTGGAAACAGTTTCTTGTAAGATGAATGCTTTGCAACCATTATGGAATGCAATATGGAGGTTCCCCAAAAAGCTAAAAATAGAAATACCATTTGACCCAGTAACTCCTCTCCTAGGAATTTACCTGAAGAAAACAAGATCTCTGATTTGAAAAGACATAGGAAACCCCATGTTTATCACTGCACTATTTACAATAGTCAAGATAGAGAAGCAACCTAAGTGTCCATGGAGAAAGAAGATGCGGTATATAAATACAATGGAGCAGCCATAAGAAGAAAAGAACTCCTGACATTTGCAATAACATGATGGATCTAGAGGGTATTATGCTCAGTGAAATAAGCCAGGTGGAGAAAGACAAACAGCAAATGATTTCACTCATTTGTGGAGTATGAAAATAAAATGGAAGGAATAAAGTAGTAGACTCAAGAGACGAAAAAGGGACTAGGAGGTCACCAAAAGGGAGGGAGTGTGGGAGGGGGGACAATGGGATTAAGGGGCACAATAATTTGCAAGCACAATATAGGTAGGTACTGGGAATGGTAGTTCAACATGGAGAATATAATTAATGGCTATTAACATCTTTGTGATAGTGACTGCTGGAGGGGGTGAGGACTTAATAATGTAAGTTAATGTTGAACCAGTTTGTATTTGAAACCATTGTAAGATTGTATACTTTAATTAAAAAAATGATTGCTAGAAAAAAACTAGAATGGACAAGGAAATTACATTTGGAAAAGGTCCCAAACAACATGTAATATAAGGAGCACAGTATAACAAAACACATACAATGCTATGTGTTTAAGTGTATAAAATGCATAGAAACACACAACCTGCTGGAGATGAAATTGGCAAGAATTAGCTGTCATAATCATACATGAAATCCAATCAGTACTTTAGTATCATTGGGGTGGAAAAGTAAAAAGAGCTATAATAAAGGCACACTGTATGAAAGAAGTAGGTAGTTCTTACAGAAAACATTTCAAGAATCAGAAAAAGCAAGACTACATGTTACTATATGCGAGGCTTTTGTAATATAGATCCAGAATACGATTCTTGGACAGAATAGTAGAAAACATATCATTATTACTCAACCCTGTCATTACAAAGTTTGTATAACAGAATCCAGTTAATTGTGTGTGGTTCTTTATGTCCAAGTTGAGTTTATTAAGGAATGCAAAGTCGATTTAACAATAGAAAACCAGTAATTATAATGACTTTTTAAAAAATAGTCCTTTTTACTCATTCAAATATTTATTAGGTACTTCTCATGGGCAGTTTGTATAACAGAATCCAGTTAATTGTGTGTGGTTCTTTATGTCCAAGTTGAGTTTATTAAGGAATGCAAAGTCGATTTAACAATAGAAAACCAGTAATTATAATGACTTTTTAAAAAATAGTCCTTTTTACTCATTCAAATATTTATTAGGTACTTCTCATGGGCCAGGTACAGTTCCAGGTGCTTGACTTTTGTCAGTGAACAAACATCATGTCACATACTGCACAGAAAGTATTTAATGAATTCATAGGCATTCAGTCTCCAAATTATAGAATACAAGAAAATCCTACAGCAGTATGTAGAGTGACTATTAAAAACTGGAAACCATCTTTCTTTAAAACTTTAAAAACATACTAGATATAAAGTGAATTTAAGGTATACAGCATGCTAAACACATTTATGTATTGTTATTACCAATTAGCACTTTCACATAATTAGTCTTTCTCTTTAATATTTGGGTTAAATCTAGTCTCAGCACATTTGATGATTATAGTTTAATACTGTTGGACACAATCTTAAATAAGCCAGAAAGCATACACCTCTTTTCTGGGGTTTTTGTGAGGGAGGGCTTCATGGCATGGTCGTGATTGACTAAAGTATTGGCCATTGGCTGATTCAATGTCCAGCCCCCACTCTTGGGGTGAGGGGGTGGGGTCCAAAAATCTCATTAGCATGGCAACACTTGTTTCGCCTTTAAGATTGCAGTGTATTTAGGAACTGTGGATGAAGACCAAATATTTTCTTATGACTCATTATATTGCAGTCCACCCATGGACTTCCCAGATTCCTTACAGCTAAACAGTCCTACCCGTTACAGCACTTAACATCTAGTATGGTATTTACACAACAAAGATACCAATGCAAATAGGTCTGACATTTGGAGAACTGTGTGGGGTGGGGACAGATTTAAAGGGACAACTCATTTGTCCTATGAAGTCTTGACCAAGTTTTCTCCCAAAGTGATGGAACTTCACTTGCAGGCCGGCAGCACCGACCTTGTCAGGTTCCCAGAAGCAGAGGTGGTCATGGCGAACATACAGCTTCACCGTTCTGGTATGCTTTTGCTAAGAGAGATTAATTACTCTAAGCCTCTCTGGAGGTGTTAGTCAGAAAGAGATATGAGTGACATGAAAAGAATGGGGTGCATCAAGAACTCAGGAAATTAATCAGGAAGCCAGAAAGGACTCTCAGAAGTAACACTCTTTGCAATGTGAGTTTGTTCCACATGCTCTGAATCCGGGCTCACCTTGAGACTTGATCTAGCTAATTCAGGTAAGGGAGCAGGAGCAGAGTCAAGGAACAACCATATGATTAATTTTCCTTAAAAATGCCAAGATACAGAGTCACTCCTGTTCTTGTTATGCTATCTTAAGGCTAAGATTCCATTTTAAAAGAGAACTGGGAAGTCGGATTCCTGCATATTCTTTGGTAATCAGCTAGCAACTCATCTTAAAGCAAGACAAGCACTCGTAACTATGTTCCCAGTGCTTGAGGGTAGCCACTATCTTGTAGAGGAGCCAGAAGTTTATTCTACAAAATTATCTAGAAGACTGTATGGGTAATGACATACTGTCTCACTGGAGATAGACATCATGAGATGCCATGACAAGCCTACACCCCCCAACCCTTTACCTTTGTCCCATTCTTGAAAATCCTTAAAAGACAAAATCGCAGCTTTTAAGTGCACCTCTCAGAGGTTGCCCCTCACTCCCCTTTCTTGGTGTATTTTTAAGACTTCTTACTGCTCAACTTACTATGTTTTGTCTGTGTGCTTCCACTGGTGCCTTTATCACTTGTTTCATTCCGTTTTCCAGACTTTAAGCACTAATCTTCACTGTCCTACTTCAGATAAGTAGGGAGGGGCTGCTGAGAGCCCTGATTAGAGCTTGCAGGTTCCCATCAGGGAGCTTCCCCGTCCTCTGCTTTATTCAAGTAGACCTGCTTTTGTCTCCCTTGACTGACCTGCTCCTCCCTTGGAGTGGATTTTAATAAAACTGGCTCTGCTTCACTACTGCGGCTCTGCCCTTCAATTCTTTGTTGCAGTGGGAAGAAGAACTGAGGACAAACTAAACCCCCAACAGAGGCATTAATAAAATGTTTGATTTCCCTTGTTTCATGACCCAGTTATTCATTCATCTGTCAGCTATAACTTTTCTGTCATTTATCTTTATCCAGACTTTTACCCTGTGGAAGGGACGTCAGTTTTGGCTCCTATGCTCATCCAGATTGCACACAGCAATACTGGTCTAGCAAGTGCCTCCCTTCAGTCCACTCCCACTCACATAAGGTAGATGGTTACTGCAGAGCTAGTGGGCTGTCCCTGCCACTAGGCAACAGCTGTTCTGTCAGCCCCCACTTGGGCGGATGGGGTAAAGTCACAATCCACCCCATCAGGCCCTTATGACTTGTGACAAAAGATTTAAAGGTCTGGTTACAGTTTTAGTAATCTTACCTGCTGCTGGCACCTGCAGTTGCAGCCCTGATCCTGGGACCACTGCACCCAGTAGGAGAAAAGTTGCAGTTATGAGGTAGAACCCTATAGTTGCACTAGCATCTTCCCCCACCCCAGATCCCCCTGAAAAGCAGAATAATCCATGCAGAGGGGACCCTCCCTTAGCCCTTCATGTGTGAGCGCACACTCCTGAAGGCGTGTGAGCCACCTCCTCGTGCCTTTATCTCCCCATTTTATGCAACAGATGTTCCAGCTGCCCTTGTTTCCTGTTAAGCCATTGCTGTGAGGATGTGCAACATGGTACTCCTGATATGTCTCTTGGCCCCTGTTGGACACCCTGGGCTATAAAGTGGGCAAGAGTTGGGTCCACTGCCCTTTCTAAATTCCACTGGTAACTTTACCTTTAAATCATTGCAGTACAGCTGCTTTCATACCATGGGTGACTGGGTAGCCATCCAGGTATCAAAAGGTTCCTCATACCGTCCTTCCATTCTTTCAAAAACCACTTCCATGAGCCTGGGCTGGACTAGCAAATCCTACTCCTCTGACACCAAATGTCTTTTTCTCCATTTATATATAACAAGCATTTTACACACAGCAGTAATAGTGTGACACCACTCAGGTTCCCGGACCCAATTCCAATGTGTCTGTGTGTGGGCAGGGGTCTTCCCATGTCAACACCAAGCAATCTTCAAACACCACCAGCAAGGTTGAACTCAATTCTGATTCTGTCTTCTCAGAGACAGCACCATATTCCCGGGTGAAGCGTTCTGTTATCCTATAAGACAGCCTTCCACCCCCACACGCCCCACTCCAGACACTGGTCTAAAGCCCATTATCTGTGCTGACCTTGGAAGTTCCCACAACCTCCCCCTTATGTTCAATAGATTTTTTAGAGCCGCTCAGAGGGCTCAGGAGAACACATTTACCAGTGTAAAAAAGGATACAAGTTAACATGCAGATGCATACATAGGGCAAGGTCCCAAGTAAATGAGCTTCTATCCTCGTGGAGCTTGGAGCCTGACTTGGAAATGGAGGCATTCTGGTTCCCTAAGCACAACACCTCTCTGAGAAGTGGGATCCAAGAGCAATGAGCAGTAAGCTCAGGGGTTTCTGTGAAGGTTAATTGCATAGTCATGATTGACTAAACCACTGACCCTTGGCTGACTCAACCTCTAGCCCCCACCCTTGGAGGTCTCATTAACATAACAAAACACCCATTTCACCTTTAAGACTGCAATATCTTGAACTGTGAAGACCAAATATACCTGGGAAATATGTATTTGGCCATGTGAATTATTAAATATGTGTTTATTATGACTCATATTGCAATACCCAATTAGAACTGGGAATAATACAGCACTGTGGCTTTCACTACTTGTAGTCAGCATGGAATTACAGGTTGCATTTAGTCCAAAGCCACAAAACATGTGTGACCTAAGAAATGAAGAGGAAAAATAAAATAATTTTTTACAGACATGATTTCCTAAGGTGAAGAAACAAAACAATTACTAGAATTAGTGAAAATATTTGCAAAGACTGCTAGTTACAAATTCAACAGCATTTTATTTATCAACAATCAGAGTTGTAAGATTACATATGATTACAATAGCAAGATGATTACAAACTAAAAATATTTTTTGAAAATTAAGAGTATGTTTTGTGTCTGAGTACAAATACAATAGACCTTAATGAATTTAAAGTCCAATGCATAAATTATTCTATTCCCCCTAGAAATGGCCTGTTTTCATTTAAAAATTCAGGCAACAGAGTAAGAATGTTACAAATAGGATCCAAAAATTACTACCAAAAAAAGTAATCGCTAAAGACAACTCAAGCAATTTTTTAAAAGAATGCATTATATCCAAATTAAGGTTTTTCTAGAATCACAAGGTTGATTTACCATTAGAAAACTAATGCACCATAATTAAAGACATGTATATGCAAATTGGATCAATGACAGAAATGGCACAGTAAAAGAAAAAGTCTTTTAAAAAATAGCCTGGAAATTTTTACATCCATGCTAGAGTAGTAACTAGAATATAATGACACTATAAAAAGTCTATTCCAGATCAATTAAAGCACATAAACATAAAAATAAAAGGGGGGTCAGCAAAACATACCACAATGGGAGAAAATTTCTGAATACATCAATAAAATCGCATAAATCTGGCTCTAACAAAATTTAAAATTCCCTTTAATTACACCTTGACAAAAGGACATCACCTTGACCTCCAGCAATTATTCACATGAACATACCATGCAGTCTTCCACTAACAGAAGTTGGGAGTAAATCTGTTCAGTTTACCTCATACACCATTAATAACGCTATTACTAAGAGTCCAAGCAGCTGGATGAGGCCAACCTGCAGCACTGACCTCTCACCCATGACCCCCAAGGACTTGGACTCAGTGAACTGTGAACAAGTTCTGGTAGAAGTTGTAGGTATTTCAAATGTCCACTGAGGCCAGTCTATTATACACTGCAACCTGCACAAGAAGTCAAGGTATCTCCATACTAAAGAGACTCACTTCATAATACACTGTCCCTCAACTGCAATTGACACAAGCATACCCAGGTTCCTTCCAATCAGAATTTATAATTAGTTTAATACACGCTTTACACTGAGTGGAGCCCCATGGGAAGTGATTAATATTAAGCAGCTGTGGCCTCCATGGCCATATGTGACCTAACCAAAGGCTGCTCAACTGTCAGGATATGAAAAAGCTTTGGATTTGTGTTCTCTCTATCCAGTGCCCACTTTGAAGAACTACAAATGACAGCATAAAATATTTCAGAGCAACAGAATGTGCCAGGTTCACAGGTTTCTATTCCATAGCACATGAAGGAATGAAAAACCTACCTGAAAGTCCACATGCCAACTCATGCTGAACATACATTTTCTTCCAAGCCATGGTACTACACCTAGGAGTCATTTGAGAACATTCCCAGTTTCTAGCCTCTCAGTGCACAGTGCCTGAAGTTAAAAGTATTCCTTCCCTAGTTCTGGGGTCATTACCCTTCCTGGGCCCTGAAATTGAGGTACCTCACAGTAGTAGGTATAATTTCACCTTTTGTACTTCCTTAATACAAAAGAATCAGATCTGCTGAGGACAAGAGCATCATTTAGATAATCTACAGGGGCACTGTATCTTCCAGCTTGGCCTGCATGAGGTACACAGATGGACTCCATGAGTACTGAACTGATTCAAGTGGTCACCATCTTCACAATCATTAACCAGATCAATACAAAAAGGATTCAGATGGCTTAAGTAGGATTAATTCTATGCTCAATAGCCCCACTTTGGCAAGGCTGTATACTAAATGTAGAACCTAGACTGGCCTAGCAATGGTTATCAGGAAGAAAAAGCCCTACTGTTCCCAGGAATGGTCAGGGCAGAATGGCACGTTCAAAATAGATGCAGAGAACCATCCTGTAAGCTTAATAAGTGTTACATGTTGCTTATATGCTGAGCTGTAGATTGCTTGCTTACATTCATGGAGCATCTAATTGGCTTAAGTTCTTTCATATATTCAAAGTAACTGGGGACATACTCATCACACTTAAGTTTCTCTACAGTTTTTTCATGTTTTTGAAATGAACTGGAGTAACAGGGCTTTCCCACATTCCGTACATAAAAGAGGCTTTCTATCCACTGTGAATTTGCATTATTAGTCTGACCATGATATAAAGACTTTCTCACATACCTTACATTGATAGGGTTTCTTTCCAGTATGAATTCTAATATGCAGAGTTAGGCCTGAGGAAACAGCAAAGGCTTTCCTGCACTGCTTACATTCATAGGGCTTATCTGTGAGTTCGTACATGTTTGCTAAGGCTTGAAGGCCCAGTGAAGGCCTTCCCACATTTCTCACACTGATAGGGCTTCTCTCCAGTGTGAAGTCTCACATGTTGAGTCAGGGTTGCATTCACAGAGAAGGCTTTTCCACAGTGCTTACATTCATAGGGCTTCTCTCCAGTGTGAGTTCGCATGTGAGTCTTAAGTACCGAGGGATATGGGTATGCTTTTCCACATAAATTACACTCAAATGGCTTATCTCCAGTGTGAATTTTCAAGTGTGCAGTTAGATATGACGGTATGGCAAAGGTTTTCCCACATTCACGACATTCAAAGGGCCTCTCTCCAGTGTGACTTATTAGATGTCTTTTAAGGGCTGAGGGATGAACAAAAGTTTTCCCACATTCCTTACACTTAAAGGGTCTTGCCCTAGTATGAATTCGAGCCATGTGATCATTAAGGCATTTGGAATCTGTATACAACCTCCCACATTCCTTACATTTATAGGGTTTTTTATCAACTTGCATTTCAACATGCACAGGAAAGCCTGTTGACTGAATTAAAACTCCTTTATATTGGTTCCCTTCATCAAGTTTTTCTCCCTTGTGAGTTCTCACATGTGACTGAAATTGTGGGTGAGTCACAAACATTGTTCCACAGTCACTGTGTTCAAAGGGTTTCTCTGTCAGGCTGCTGCCAAGCTGATTAAACTCAGTAACTTCCTCTTCAGTAGAGTTTTTCTTGCTCACTGTATAAAAGCATTTTCTGTACTGACTACACTCAGAATTATTTCCTCTATTTTGAGTCTTTACATGTGTCTTAAGTAATACATGTTGACTGAGGACTCTTCCGCATTGCTCATAAAGTTCTGCCCCCCTGTGGGTCCTTTCCTGTTGATGAAGGGATGAATGATTACAGGATTAAAAGATTTATCATATAAAGCATAGCCAATAGTTTTGTAACATCTTTATTGACAGTAACTGTCCTAGTTAGGGTGAGGATTTAATAATGTGTCTAATTGTGGAATCAGTATGTTGTATACTTGAAGCCAATGTAGTATTATAAATCGACTCCACTGCAAATCAGTGTTTTAAAGAAAGCCAAAATGAGGCTTCAAAAAAACTGATTATAGTTTTTATAAAGCTAAAGACATCATTATCACCATGATTCTCACCATTTCTTCACATGAACAGTTTTTGTTGATGTCTTTTGAGTTAAATGATGGAACTCTTCTGCCAAAATGCAGTGCCATCTACTCTGAACTTAAAAGAATTCCTTTAAATTTCATGAAAATGTTTAAAAACTCAATGCCTAGTTACCTATGTGGGAGTGGGTGCTGTGGTATCTGAACAAGTTCCAAGGTAGGGTTCGGATATCACCCAAATCATCAGATTCAGAGTATCTCAGAATTGAATTGCTTTCTCTTGGATGAATGCTACTTGTCAGATGGCAGATTCAGTGATTTTTTTTTTAATCTACTGATTTTTCTATAATGGAATTACCAATCTTTTTTGAAGGTGGAAAATAAATATCACAACTCAATCTTACAGTTTGTACCTCACTGGATATTTTTCCTCCGACAATATTCTGGTGAAATGCGGACCCTTTGGTTTTGAGTCTCACTGTCCATTCTAAAGAAAACAAAATAATGATTTACAGAAATGGTAGATTAAGGAAGTTAAAGATGGTAAGGCTCATTGGTCTCTATTTTCATATTTAAAATATAAATAAAATAGATTTCAGTAGTCTAGGAAAATTTGGCAGTAAGTGTGTGGAGTAAAAATTTAGTTTATTGAGAAACAATTCTATGAAAATTAAACACAATGGTGAACACTAACAGATTATTATCAGGGTATACAAGTGGTAAATATCTGGAGGAGGAGGAGGAGGATATATGAAATAATAAAAGAAGAAACAATAGTCTTTTTGTGAGAAAACAGGAAGTTTGAGTAGATGGAAAGTAAAAGACCTACAGAAGTTAAAGATACCCACAAAGCATCAAAGATCAGTGGCTTCAGCCTTTTGAGAAAAATCTTAAAAATCTTACACACTTAAGTTCCAAAGATAGTATATTTCTATTTGGCCAATAATTTCTCCACAAACACTCACCTTGTAAAACTTCTTTCTCCACTGTCCTCAACTCTTCTTGTTCCAGCCAAGCTATCAGACTGGGTTTGGACAGTTGGTATCCTGCCATGGTGAAAAAGTGCATCAATGGGAGAAGCTCTTGCAAAAGGTGACAAACTGTTTCATGAATCCAGAGTTGGATTTTTAATGAAAGCAGAAATTATTTCAAAAGGACTAAAAAGCCAAACATGCCCTCTTTCTGTGCCAAAAGACAACTGGTTATCTCTGACCCCCGAAAGCCAGATTTAGACATATGCACACATTTACAAAGCACAAGAGGATTATTTAAATAGGAAATAAAGAAAACGACAGAGATCTTCGTTATAATGGGGGAAACCACTAGAGCAGTGGTTCTCTTTAACTTTGGTGTGCACTGCAATCATCTGGAAGACTTACTTAACCAGAGAAGGTAGAGGACCTACTGAACACCCCAGCTTTATTTGTCAAAAGTGGAGTCTGAGAATGTAAATTTCTAACAGTGCTGATGCTGCTGTTGGTTTTGGGTCCATATGTAGAACCACCACAGTGGATTAAAACCTGTTAATGCAGGGTCTGTGTGTCTGTTATATCACATTATATTCAGATTTGGCACCACCAATGCTGGAACACAGTAAGTACAAAACATGTAACTGCTCCCTAAGATGTTACAAGCGATGATGCCAGCCTTACCTACTTTAACCAGGTTCCAATAGTTATTCAGCATCACACTTCTGTATAGCTTTCTCTGAGTAAGGTCCAATAACATCCACTCCTCCTGGGTGAAGTCCACAGCCACATCATCAAAGGTCACTGGATCCTAAATCAACACACACACATGCTGGCTTGAGCCACAAAATATCCACCAATGTTCACTGGACAATGAGGATGGGAGACCCAATACTTATGCAGGGTTAGGAGGTCTCATTACCTTCCTAGGCTTCCATAGTCCCAGGTACTATCTAGACTCACTGCAGATCTCTACTCTTACGGTTTTGATGGGATCTCTTAAACATGACCTTATCTCACCATAACCAGAACAGGAGCTCTTCTCATCTTATTTCCCTGCATTTTAGCATAATCCTGAGCTCATTACAGATACATGATAAACAATGCAGAATGACTGAATTCTCTGAGTAAAAGACACTTACATTTTCTTTACTATGTCAGAGTCGGCAGCAAATAAGAAGAAATATGGGGTCAGCATCTATAAAGTTCAAAACTGATTACTGAAATATTGAGATCACTTACAGAGTAATCCCTCTTCATTATGAGAGGTTCCACTTCCTGAGAAAATCCCACTGAGGATTCAGTCCTCATACAGGGCCTTATTTACTTTAGGAAGCTCTGGACACAGACGTGCCCACAAGGAATGTATCCATCTGGTGGGTGTACGTACATCATTCTGTAGGATATGCTTTTTTCTTACCTGATGAGGATTTTTCAGCCAGAGAGCCATCCTTTCTGCCTCTGTGTTTTCCTCATGAAGGGAGACTGGATCCATTGACAGAAGATCTCAAGGAAAAGAAAGACTATCTCTGAACACAGAATGACCATATTTCCCAGATTTACGTACCTGAAAGTTACTCCATTCTAGTTTGAGATTTCTATGTGTATCTGCACATTCAGGAGATCTCACATAAATATACACTACTGTCACAAAATGCCAGAGTAGTTCTGTCACCTGGAGCTAGAAAAGAGGATTGCTAGCTATGCTGGCCATAAGGAAAGGAATAATAGTCTTATTTCACAGTTTCAGAAACTGAAGCCCTGAGAAATGTGATTATTTGCCCAAGATGACAAACTCATGAATGAGGTTATGCAGCACTGAATCCCAAAGCACACACACCAGGAAGCTGACTTAGATGATGGCATTCTCTGACATTCTTCAGCTCTTTCTAAATGATCCAGCAGCATGACTGCTCAGGCCCAAACCACCAGACTCTATATCATGCAAAAGTGACCTTTAGCATACTCTGAAAATGAGATTTAACGAGGACTTACCATGAGTCAAATTGATGGCTGCCATGTTGGAAGGGTGATGGAGAAATGTGCCTGATGGGAAATTTGATACCAAGATCACTTCAGTGCAGCTTATGAATCTAAGTGCATATGGCAGTCCTTATCACTCCAGACACAAGCTTATCTAGAGTCCTGTTTCACATCAGTCATTAATCAGTAAGCATTCCTTACCAATCATCAATCACACATCAGCTATTTCTCCACAGATGATACATGTGAAAGTCATTAAAAACACTATACTCTTAGCATGAAAGTA